CTCAATGTAGCCATAGGCGATCTAGATGTCGGTGTGGAATTGTTGTCTTTCAGCGGCTGTACTTCAAACGCAGTCTGCTGTAGAGCGTGTTGTCGATCAGAGTTGGGCAAGCACCGGGCAAAATCGCACTGCTTGAAAACTGTTCAACGTTCTATGAAGTACAGGCTAAGGGTTTGATCTTGGGCAGGATAAACGACGGTGGCGTAAGTGACAGTGTGAGAACGAGAGGGATCAGATCAGATGATGCGTCATCTCCACGGTGGCATGAAGGCGTGAGTCCCAGACAATGGGACCTGGCAGGATATGTCAAGGTAAACGACCCCCAGGTAAGCTGAATACTGTCTTGTTGCCTTTGCCCACTCACTATCTCCATTTCAGCAACGAGCTAGCTCAACGGCTAGACAACTTACCAATCGCCAATGCCGCCGCCGCCGCCGCTGACGAGAACGCATCCGTTGAGAACTGCTGGGACACAATCCAATCGAAGGCGCTGGCCGTCCTCGGTCGCGCACCCGGTCACATACAACCTGCTCTCTGAGAAGGACCGCCTGCAAAAAGCCTACATCGACCACCCCACAGACGACGACAACAAAGCAGCATTCTACCGTTGCCGCCGCCTTATGCAACAGCGGCTGCGCAAGATGCAGAACGCACGGACGTCCGCAAGGCTAAGTAGATCCAAGGGTACGCGGACCACAAAGAATGGAAGAAGTTCTTCTCCGCGATCTACTGTCCGCCCGCCAAAGGTACTGCACCTCTCCTCGGCGCCGACTGAATAACCACGCTCACCGAAAAGAGACACAAATTCTGCAGCGATGGGCCGAACAATTCAGAGGCGTCCTCAATCGCCCCTCCAACATCTCCGACACCGCCATCGCCCGCCCGCCCGCCCCAAGTGAAGACCAACGCCAACCTTGACCTCCCATCCTCTCTCCACGAGACTATCAGGACCGTGCAGCAGCTCTCCAGCGGGAAAGCGCCCGCATCGGATGCCAGCTATGCGGAGGTCTTCAAGCATGATTGTCCCCAATTCATGGAGCATCTGACGGAACTGTTCCAGGAGATGTGGCTTCAAGGAGAAGTCCCACAGGATTTCAAAGACGCCACCATCATCCACCTATACAAACGGATAGGAAACCGCCAGCTTTGCGACAACTACCGAGGCATCTTCCTGCTGAACATTGCCGGTAATATATTCGCTCACATTCTTCTCAACCGCCTGAACAATCACTTGGATTAAGGTCTTCTGGCGAATAGTCAGTGCGGCTTCCGCCCTTATCGTGACACCACGGACCGGATCTTCGCCACCCACCAGCTGCAGAGATGCGGACCCACCTGCACTTTTCTTTCGTGGATCTGACGAATGCGTTCGACAGGGTGAATTGTGACGAAGTGTAAAAAATCATGCGGTGATTTGGCTGTCCGGGACGATTCAGTCAGAGATTGCGTCAGCTCCATGATCACATAATAGCACGCATCACGGACGAATTCGCAGTCTTATATTCCCCTCCATGCTGATGGACGCTTAACGCGAAGAACGCCCCGGGATCCGCCTCGCCTATGGGACGGCTGGCCACCTCCTCAACCACAGACGGACGCACTTCCGGTCGCATGTGTCCACAGTCACCATCCATGAACTTCTGTTCGCTGATAAGCACCTCGGGATCTGCATCACCATAAAGAACTGTGAGCAAACTGTTTAACCACAGGAAGATGCAAATTTAATCGCGTTTTTCCACAACCACCGTCCACTAGGAGAGTCAGTCTGAAACAACTCCCTTTCAGCGTGTTCACGACATCCTCACGCATGTCAGATGTACACTGCTCAACCCGATTTGTGTGTAATCATGGTGCTTGCGTTTGAGGAGCTAGGTCATGCATGTGGCGCGCGTATACACGGCCACTATACCCTGTCAGCCACCGAGCCCATTCCACGCTCCAGCCAACTGACCGGCTTAGACATTGGCTGCGGCCTGAGAATGTGAAGCGAGAGTGAGATTGACGACTCAGCGCATTTTCCCCCTCCCTTTAAAGTATCTGAAGCGACCACGGTGCACTAAAAGACGTGGCTTGGCAGGTTGCCAACTGGCGGGATAACATGGACCTCGCAATCGAAATAATGTGTTTGTGTGTTTGTGTATGGATTTGGTGGCTGGCGGCATTAGAGTCAGGTTCCAATGGCTCCTTCTTAATGCGGCCTATTTTACACTCCAACTGCCAGAGATCCGAGCCGGGTGTGTCGGCACGTCTAGGTGCCGTTTCGGCCGGGCCAGCCTCAATTCTTAGTTCTTGTTGATGTTGCTGTTATGTAAAAACCCGTTTGTTCCCTGTTTGGACTAGGGGGTGGGTAGTGGAACGCCAAGGTGCGTCCTCGACCGTACCATCTGCCTGCGCCCTCCCCCACCTCCGGATCTGTTGAAACTGTTTTGACGCCTGGTCTAGGTGGGAAAGGAGAAGAGTGTAGTATATACAGCGCAAGTCTTCCATCACTTTCAACTAAAGCACGCGCAAGTCATTGTCGCTGATCTCATCCTGCTGTGGAGGGTAAGGAGAACGTCGTCGGATGCGACGGTCGAAATGTTGTGGCGTTGCCGTAGTCAGGCCCAGGCCAACATTGGTCTTTCTTCCACTGAACAAAAGTCGGGGATTAAAGTGGAGTTTGGCAGCCGTCTGGGACATATGCTCAACCTTATGTAGTGAAAGCACTGCTCACACCCTCGAGGGGAGAGTGGCTAGAAAAGTTCTTCAAAACAAATGCTGGAGTCCCACGACGTCTGTAGATTGATTATTTCCACAGACTCGATACTCACTGTCGAAAAGATCAAAATCGAAACAGCACTCTTGCCCTCCCTCCCCTTCAGTCTACTCCTTCCCCTCTTCCGCCATTTTCCCCTCCTCCTTCAACTCCTCCTCCTCCTC